GTTTTGTTATCCTGTATTGTGATCGGAAATGTCACCTTGTTTCTATACGTAGATCTCATCGACATTCGACTTTGACGATTTATAAATGATTTAACCTCATTATTTATAAGCTGGCGAACGGTAATTAGACGACAGGAGCGTAATAAAAACCCAGGATGAGGGCCTGTGTGCTGACACTAATTTAAGATACCGTACCTTCCACGTGTAGACCCTGTTCCCGTCGTTGGGGTCCGTGTAATTGGTCCTCAGGACTTCCTTGTTGGCCTCCACGATTTGCTGGAAGACCTTCCGCCGGAAGATGTCGCCGCCGTCGGCCGAGTAGGCCAGCACAACCACGTACCTGCCGGGGTCAGTGGCTCTGTCGGGCAGGAAGTTGCTGAAGTTCATGGGGAAGTAGTGTTCGATCAGGGCCTTTTCCTCGAAGCAAGTCGCCCCTATCGGGATCAAGAGTTTCTCGAAGTCTGTCTCGAAAAAGAGGCTCTGTGAATGAAAAAGATGGGGCGGAACATGAGAAGAATAGATCAAATTCCTAATTGTGACTTATGGACATGAGAGGGGAAAAAATGTTTGGCATTTGCAAGAAAAATTATGCTGAAAGCAGATGATCTGAAAAATAGTTTGAAAAATTCTTTTAGGTCATTCAGAAGACTGCACAGTGGTGTACTGGACCATGATGCGAACATTTTGAATCTTGAACAGAAAAATAATATATGTATACACTCTGATACAGTATTTATAAAATTTCTCCGACATGTCCATGTGGAATTGAACAAAATTTCCAGAAAAATGCAGAAAACATGTATTTCAAGTCCTAATTAGTGTATACAGTATTCACTGAACTAGCAGTGCAGCACCAACGTCTTTATTAGCTAAAGACGCGATGATAAAAATAGGTGAGTGTCATAGCTTGGTCAACAATTTTCAAAGGTTTTAGAAGTGTGCAGTATACTTGACAGTAATAGGAAATTATTAAAGAACCAAGTCTAACAAAAACACTCATTTTAAGGAATAATGTTTAAAATGAGTTGAATTCAAATTTAATCCATGCCTAGATATATAAATTTGGGTGTTATTTTTTTTTGAATATATGTCCTCATCTCCTCAAGTCCCATTCACACATTTTTCCTAGATTTCAAAAGGGGAAAATCAAGTTGTTGGGCATGCATGCTGTGTACAGTACTGTAATGTACTCTCAATCTTAGAAGTAACAGTGTTCCCCCTCCTCAAAATTGCAGTGTCAGGAACATCCTGGCACCGCAGCATACTTGACATTAGCTTTCTTGCTTTAACTGTAAAAGTAAAACCTTATAAAGGTTAGTTTATATTGATACAGTAGTATATAAGCTGCTCCTTTTCATAATCAATCAGAGTAGGTTCAGTTCAGCTGTGTTATTCAAGTTATCCAAGTTACTCCTGCAAGTCAAGCTCATTGAGTTGTTTATTCATTTATATCTGTGTGAAATACACTTTACCGCTTTTTAAACTAGGAATTCCTAAACAGAATCCTGGTCCTGTCCTGGACTGAGTATCGTGTTTTTACTTTTGTTCTCAATAGCACTCAAAATGAAATTATAATACAGCAAGTTGCACTTCTTAGGTACACTTTAGTTTGCACAGTATCTTAATTGAATCTGATGAAACATTATGAACATAGCTCATCCCTTCGACAGTGGCAGCCTCTTTTCCATCCCAGGGCAAAGTTGGACTTTCTCCCATGGGCCTGCATAACATTTTTACACAAGGTCTTCCTCTTTGGTCCTCATAATTCTTCCAATAAACCAGAACATTTTAAAATCCATGTCATGAAGTTGTTCAAGCAAAATCTTTCAGAGTCTGCAGATGTTTTGAGACACTTTGCTGCTCTGCAAAAATGTTTTGGGAAATTGGCCCATCCGCAAAACGTTTCATGAAAATTAGCTAGTCCAAGGGCCAAAAAAGGTTGAGGAACCTTGCTTTAGAGCATATACGGTATTTTTTTTTTGCGTACCACGCCCACCTTTTTTCTCAAATTTCAGAAGAAAAAAACGGGCATCATGAGGGGGTACAAATTTTTCAAGAAGTTTCAGGAAGTTAGGTGTGAATTATACTTGATTATAATGGAGAAATTAGGAACAAATGTACCAAGAAAACTTTTTTTCTACTGAAAAAGTTGAAAATAGGTCAGATTTTTGTTTAATTCATGTCTCAAGTCACATTTCTTGTTTCTATTTTCTAAATTTTGTGGTTTTAGATTCACTAAAAATTGGGGTGTGCATCATACTTGGGGATAAGATTTTAGCAAAATTTCCAGCTGAAAAAACCCTGTGCGCGCCTTACTTGAGGGCACGTGGTACTTGAGTAATTACAGTATTGCCTGTTTTCAAAAAAATTTCAGTCATACACCATGGTAATACAAAAAAACCATCAACCGTATATTGCATTGATAAACATTTTCATTCCAATTATTTGTTCCCCGGTCCCCTGGAAAATCGTTTTAACCAGATTCCAGTGTACTGGTCAGACTTTGGCATGCGGTTCTCACCTGAAACCCACTGGCGCCAAGAACAGTGCACAGCAACGACACAGTTATGAAGTAGTTGGGCGATTCCCCGACTTTGTACCCGAGTCGACCCAATTTATGGGCCAGGCCTTGTTCGATTTTTCGAAACAACTTCATTTTTTAAATCAACGAGGCCTCAACTGACTATATAACTTGTGAATCAAACCACTATATATAACTGCACTGCTTTGCTGCACTATATAATGACATGCTGCGTATATAACTAAGCCATTGCTTTCGTCTGCGTCCCAACTTTATACCTTTGGAACTCAATTCTCACGTCGAACAATGCCTGCGAAAAAAATTACCTGAACATCAACGCTTTTAATTGAAACGCATTTCTCTTGGACGATTACTGTGGAAAACAATAATACTTGATAAAGTGCTTTTGATTCCCTTTTCATGGTCATCTTCGTCCCAGAAAAATAAAGAAGACGAAAAACTGTACTGACGCGACAAGTTTTATCTCGGCACATCAACTTTTGCGTCGTGCCTTTTTCTTGACCAGTGAGACTTATGTAATCACTGCAAGAATCAATGAATAATTCAGAGGAGAACTCACCATTTTCCGGTGATCTTCTTTGAAGAAAAAAGAGAGAGAACGCGTCATGTTTACCATATAAATAATGAGAAAACAATCGAATATGCATGTACTGAATTTTCCCATTCGCCATATATTAGCATCCCGCTACGAAGAACTTGATCCAACATTGCCCATATCCAGGCGTGGAACTGTTTTTTTTTAATATTTTCATGAGCAGAATTTTGTCAAGTGAAGCTGGTGATGGGAATAAGTACTGTTGTGTGAGTGCCGAAGGGAAACGAACACGTGAAAAAAAGAAACTGAGTGAATAATGCATGTATAGAAGCTGTCACAGACTACATCATATATTCAACAAGTGTCAGAAGCTTTTCTTCTTCTTCTGGAACATGGTTTCATTGACTCGGGGGAGAAGAATGTATAAAAAATTAAAATAAATCACATGCATCTATCATAAAATTTGGAAAAATCATTTTATAATTTGAAGGTATAAAAGTTGATTTTTCTGAGCTGCTGATCGCAGGTGACCCAAAATAATCTTCAATTGTTTCAGGCAGATCGGTTCTGTGTTCATCTTTCAGAAAAAATTCAGGATTTTCCGAAAAAAAAACGACAAAAAACTCTTCCTTTTATCCTTGGTATTAAATTTTCTTCAGTATTTTTTTTACATGACCTGAGTTCTTCATCAAGAGTGAAGGACTATATAAAACTATTGGATTTTTAATTGGACGAATAAAAGGAATTTCCAACTGAATCAATTCATAATTACTTACGATGAAAAGGGGTTATTTCTGGTTGAAAACGTGTTCTTCTCAATTTTTCAGACACGTGTTCATTTGTTTTTTCAATAGCCTTAATATACATGAGAGAACCACAATTTTCAGCTGATTATCATGAAAAATACGCATGTACTGTATTCCGAAATATGTAACCGCACGATAATGATAATTTATGCCTCGCAAAATCACTGTTCGACGCCATATTCAGAATTTGAAATATTGGAAAATTTCTCGTTACAAAAATAGCACCCATAGAGTTTAATCCGGAATAATATCAGAGATTCGAGCGCAGTTTAATTCTCGGTTCGGCCATCATAGTTATTTTCACGCTGTTGGAACGAGTACGCAATTGCAAAAAAAAAAAAACACTCATCGTCAATCATTCTATAGTCCGCGGAAACCGTGATGATATAATAAACAAACTGAAATTTATAGAATCTCAAGCCGCGATGAAAAAATAATTTCAGGAATGCGACAAGTAGAGAAACTGCGTATATTACATATTCGAAAAAAGTGAGAGTGACGAGATATGCCGAATAATGGAAAGAACGACTTATTTTGTGCTGGGCCTGTAATATAGAAAATAACTGACATCTTTCTTTTTTTTTCTAGTCTCGTCTCTGTCTTTCAGTCTCTCGTTTTGGTCCAACTCAAGGCGATACAAGAATCCGGAAATGAACCGGAAGACGCACGAGAAATCAAAGGAAGGAAACGATGGCACCGAAGAACGAGTGCGAGCTCGTCGTTATTTCAGCAGATGCTGCGGGTGGTATATATAGTATTGTATATATATTCCACACCACACAGGTGGTACCACAGCAGTGGAGGAGCAGACAACAGCCTCGACAAGAACCACACATGATGCGCCACACACAAAAAAAGAAACAATAATAAGAATGGGCAACGGACTTCCGCTGTCTTCTCATGATGATGCCCATCGGCGGGTCGAGTTCCAGGTTCAAGGCGCTTCTCATAATTAAGATAAAAAAAGATGCAATCAAGTGACGATTTTATAAATGAAATTTATGAGCCGGATGCGAAAAAACCCGTTGCGTTTTTTAAATTTTTTAAATGAAGTATAGCATCACATCAGCAGATGTTCGACCGCAGATTTAATTAACCCTTTTTCCCACCATCATCATCAGCAGCCTGGGGGTTTTGCGTTGTCGTCGTCATCGTCGATGTGCTTGTTGCTTGTCGACACTTCCGGGGTTTCAATTGAATGATGTTTATCTCTGCTTCCTATTCTTTTTTGTTAAATTATGATGCATGTTTTCTTGTTTGGTTTCCTTGTTATTCCCGAGAGCTCAAGGAGAAGTGAACGGGACTGCTGGCGGATAAGCAGCAGCAATGAAAAGAAACAACTCCTCCGCGGGTTATTCCACTGACCATGATTCGTGAATGTTGAAAGGTCAACGAAAGGATCTGAGTGACCAACTAACTCGTTTCCATATATATGAAAAAAATGGGGAAGTAAGTATTTAAATTAAGCTTCGTTTCTATGACGTCAGCCGCAGGGGTTTTTTTTCTTCTGAGGAATGCCCGCTTTTTCTGGGGTATATATTTCCGGAGAACCGAAATATACTAAAAAAAATTCGGGGAACTCGTCTATGGTTTTGATATTATTTTTGTATGTTCTCCTCAGCTCGTCTGTCCTGGCCAACGATGCATAGTATTCATTAATAGGACTGCGGTTTCGTCTAATGATTCGATTCCATTCTATTTTTTTTTTAAATTCCGTGTACATTCGAACCAAGAATGTATAAGCCTAGTTACCGCATGCGAGGAAGACGATAGTTGTAATTTGAATATTTTCGGACTCAGTTATGTATATCATGACATAAGCACCTTCATTTCAATTTGCTGTACTTCCAAAAATTTCGTATTCTGTAAAAAAATGGCATATGTTATAATCTTCTGCTTGAATATACTGCTCGATTGCTTTGACGATTTTGTACAAACGATCCAAAAAAATTTCAAATTCAGGTGTTTCCAATCGGTGCAGGCCTGCTGCATATATTGAAGAATTTTTGATGCTAACAATATCAATAAAACCAATGCCCACTAGTGTAGCCTTGAAAATACAGGGGCTTCAGAGATTCTTTGAAGAATTGTTTACATTGTTGCACCCAAAATTAAGTACAATATTATCAGCAGAAGATTTTGTTCAGTTTCTCAAGTGCAACAACAATGAAGGCAGGGAAAAGATCCTATAATTACTCAATTTTGTCATGATGATTGTGATATATGTTGTTGATTCAAGTAAATTAGTATAATGAGGATGACCCTACATATGGACACTTCAACTTAGAGACCCTTACAATTGGAAAAAATTGACCCCTGACATCTGGACAGTGACGCAAGCATACTTTTCCTACATTTCTTTAGGAATCCAAAATTTTGAATCAAGGAACACCTTCTATCATGTACAGGCAGAATTATTTCAGTATTTGGCAGTTGGTTGGTAATTTGTTTGCTGATGATGTGATTCACTTCTCTGGCCTGGAAGGCCGTCAAACGGGATAGAGAAGGTCTTTCAACGGGATTCTACTCAATCAACTACCTTCTGATTGTCCATTTTTCTCGCGCAGAAGTGCTGAAAATTTCGCAATGTCCTCCAAGCATTCCCTCGGGGTGCCATTTTTTAATCAGTCACATCACTCACCTCTGAGCTGAAGACTTAAAATACTCGCAGATACAGTGAGACCCCCACATGCGGACGCCTCGCCATGGGGACGATTTGACCTGGGGACATTTATTTTTTAGGAAAAAAATCATAAAAAAAGACCCGACATGAGGACATTGACTCGACCTTTGGGACATTGCAGGATAAAATTCCAAAATAAATTTTAGGAAAATTGATTTTTATAAGGCTTAATTGCAAGGAACAGATGTTTCCAACCTAAGATATATGCACAAAAAATCCTTTGGTACTTTTCCCATCATTTTCCCATTCATTCAGCTAATTTAAAAAATGCCCTATAGCACAGAGGGACTTCCTTCCACCTCTCTTTGTGACATGGATGTCATTTTTCCAGATGCCAACTTTTCAATTTATTGTACAGAGGTACACTATTCAATGTTCCAAATGTTCTTAATGGTTTGAAAAGATATTCATTGAATTAAATTCAAGTGGCAACAATTTTTTTTCATGAAATTCTGAAGAATGTTCCTTCCATAAAACACCAATTAATAATTATACAATGTAAGTCTATGGGAAAACAAGATTTGACTTGGGGACAATCCAACATAAGGACACTCTTGATGCACCAATTATGTCTGCATCTGGGGGTCTCACTGTATTCAGCAAAGACAACTAATACACTACTCTATACTGTAGTTATTTTAAAGATATCTAAACATTTTGGGCTGTTCAAAAAGCCTCATATGCTCGAAAGTCAAAGCTGCCCTCAAAACTGATGAAAAAGAGTTTGAGAAATTGAAAATGTCAAGACTTAAGTGGTGTATTTTGAGAAACGGAGGTTGTCCAGGGATGATATGCTGTTCAAGTTTACTCTTCCACTCTATAGTTAACAAAGAAAATTCAGCAATTTGGTAGTAAGTTCAGTGCAAGAGAACCAGTTTAATGGTTACAAAAAGTTGTACCCTTTAATCATTATGGTCAGGTGTCTGTGCTGTGCTCAACGCCCTGAATTTTCATGTATGCTGGCGTTGCATTTTTCATTTTTATTTTATTTTTTTGATGACTTTGCTTTGTGATGATCAGTAGTGAATGGGAACTTTTTGAAAATCAATCAATGATGCCAAAAGTGATGCCAGGCCATTGTTTGGCAAAAAAAGTTTTTGAGTGATGACAACCCTTCCATGGCAGATATTTCTTCCATTGGGGGACTAAGTTGGGATTCTTGCAGGTGGGCTCACATTTCATTTTTCTTGAAGGTTATGAAAGCCATGCCAGGTGGCCCAGGGTCAGACTTTCTTCAGCAAAAAGGTATGTACAATACTGTTCTTCCCAAAGCTGTACTTTCTCTGCTATTCTTTTTTGCCTCTAAATGGGAATCTTTCTTCAGGTACCAAAAATTAAATTTTTGAGAATCTGAGAAGAATGCAAAATCTAATCCTGAGAGATGCTAAAAAAGTTCATTCTTGGGGATGGATCTTTTTTTTTATTTTTGGGCACATTTTTTCTGTGGATTTTAAAAAGTACAGTGGGATCTGGCTAGACTTTGTGCTGGGTGAACTGTTACTCTTATTTTAAATGTGTCCACACCGACGCAAAATTTTTCAGAAAAAGTCTGACTTTGTCACTCTAGGGATAATGAGTAAATGGATTTGGAGCAATCCAGTTGTCCAGAAAAAAATTGCATACACCTGCCCAAGTGGGGAAATTGGTGCACACTGGGGATTTGTTTGTAATTCTACACAGTGACCCTATTGTGCACCTGAATTGTACCAAAGTTCCTCTGTTGCACATGTATATCCCCAATGTGCACCAATTGTGTGTTCACACCAGGATTACTCATGCAGGGTCACATTTGTAAACAAATAAGTTACACCAAGGTTACAGTTGGTGCATTTGTGTGATGCTACTGTTATTTCACAATTGTGAACCAAGTGAAACCCTGGAATGGTAGCAGAATTTCCTCTACAAGAGTGCACACTTATAACCCCAGAATATCCCAAATGCACCAGTTGTGACCCTGTGAGGTCACAGCAAAAATAGCTCCCCATACAGGTGACTAACTTGCATTGGGGTGATGGGGCCACATCTTACTGCTCAATTTTTTCTCCTTTCATGCACCCACCTCCAGATTTTTTGAAAAGGGTGCACCATCTTGAAGACAGCATGAAGTATGCTGAATAAATTACTGGTCCTGCACCCAAATTATCATCAAATGTAGCTCTGGAGACCAGACACTTTGTGTAAGGAGTTACCTGACAAAATTTTTTTTAAGTTTCCATTTAAATGGATTTTGTGATCATGCTCTGGCACTTTGGACCATGCAACCGCATAAGAACATTTAAAAAGGAAATTCAACAAGCTTTCATGTAATGCTTTTTTCATTGATGTAATGCAATATGCTAATGAGGTACAGTATTTTCATTAAAAAAAGCATAATTTCTCATTATGTATTGCCTTTTACATTACTTCACATTATCTGTTGAATTCTGACTCATATTTGGGTTAAACCCTCATCCCCTGAGTTTGCTGTACAAACTGCATGTTTGAACTGCCTCTTTTATTATTTTTCGCAGAATTTTTTTTAACCCTGATCAGGAGTTGACTGAAAAATCCGCATTAGAATGTCGATATCAGTTCGCTTTTAAAGAAAAAAATATTTTTCAGGTAAGTGAACAACCTTGCTTTCTTTTAGTTTCTACGGCAGCTGAACTAGCTGAAAGACATATGTTTGTCGTGTCGACTGCACTCTCGCTAAATTTTTGGAATGGAGAAACCACAAACTGAGATAGTTTCCAGGTAGAGGACGCAGCTGTAAGTTAAGTCAAACCTGCTCTGAACTCTTTGGTGGCGGAGTGAGGATTTATTCCGAAATCCCAGGAATAAAAAAAAAACACCATCCTTACCAGAAGACCCCAAGTTTGGAAAATTCAGGAAATTTCTTTCCCTTTTCTGCAGAAAAAATTTCTCAAAATTACTTTTTGCTGTTGGGTAGCTATTTTTCCACCGTCCCGTGGTATAATAAACTGTACAGTGGTAGTATTAAGGGATTTCAAAAACAATAGGTTTTACTTACCCAGATTCTGCTGGACTTTGGCTACTCAGTCAAAAACTCAAATCTGCATTTTAGTGACTTCGGGTCAAACGAAAATTCGGAATCATGCAAAGTTTTCCTGGAAATTATCCCACCATCATCCAAGGTTTGAGTTAAAATTTAAGGGATCTGCAAAATATAGAGTGGAGTTAAGAGGGTTTCAAATAATAAAGGTAAAAAAGCATTCGTATTTGGAGAAAGAAATAAGAATATTGCAACTACTTTTCATTGGTGATATTATAGGCCTTAAATTGCTTTGTAAATGAGCTGACAACAGAAGGATGCTGAACTTGATGGAAACAATAATGGATCATTTGCACATCGCAATCCTTCTTTCAGTTGCTTTCGAATTACATCATAATATAATTTTATTGCTTTCATTTTTGATGTGTCAGTTGGAATGTTGAATAAAAAAAAAGTCTCAAGAAAATTACAGTTATTGAGTGTTGCGGAGGGAAGCACTGGACTTCCAGATATTTATTGCGCATTATTGTTTCTAAGGGAATATAGAAAGGGACTTGAAAATATTTTAGGTTCTGCTTAAAGGAAGGTATTTCTTAGGGTATACAAGATAAGTGTATAAAGTGAGTCTCACTTAAGCAACAGAGTGGACACAAATTCAACGCTGGGTTCTTTGGCGGATACCAGGAAAAGAGTATCTATAGATACACTGGAGGACAACGACGACAGGCATGTTTCCGTCATATACCAACTGCCACTACCTAAGGAGTCTGATACAATAAATCACCTATGTAGATACTGCTTTTATCGACAGTCAGGGAAGACTTTCAAGTGTCCTGTTGCGCATATTGCTTCCAGATGCCTGCAGGTAATTCGTTTTTATTTTATGTCGCTTCCGCTTTGATCTGCAGCTACGGGACAGGGTGGACCAGAGAAAAGTAAACCTATTTTTTATTTGAAGAAATAGCTCAGCACATTGAGCTACAGCAGTGACAAAAAGGAGTACCAAATGAAAACTTGTTCAATTTAATTTCAAAAGAGATATGGTTTTCTAGTCATTGGACTGAAAACTTTTAATATAATCACAATTCTTATTCATTCCTCCTGAATTGGGTAATGTGTGCACCCTCTTTAAGGCAGGATGAATAACTTTGCTGGTTAAAGTATTGGTCCTGCTGTATACCTCATCTATATATTTTTTAAAGCTTTGGAGAACAGCAGATTTGTGCAAGTATAGTTGCCTGAAAACTTTTCTTCTTTTGATTGGAAAGTTTTCATTGGAATGGCTGATGTGACCATGCTGTGGCTTCTAGCACCATAAAAATGCATTTCATATCAAATGAAATTTGACAAGCTTTATTTATGTTAAAGACTTGAAAGTCTCAACAAAGAAAATATGAGAATTTCAAATGAAACACAGCAATCAGCCTGGGACTGGCTGTGAGCCTCTTTATAGAGGTCCAAAAAGAATTGAGCATTTAATGATGTCCCAAAAATTAGTGAAACTCAGAGAATTTTGGACTTCACACACATCATTTCACACAACACAATGATAAAATTAGATATTTTAAGAGCTCTTCACACTTCGAGAAATGGCAGTGGAAATGGAATTCATTGTTACATGTTTTTGAAGGCAGAAGAAAGAGAAGGAAAAGTGGTTTTCCTTGTGGGCAAAATATTGGCCTCTGATTGGCTGATTTTGTTGGAATTGAAGACAATGCTGTGCATTGTCCTACAATTCCTTTGGGACTTGTTTTTAGGTGCTGGTGGCTGATGCTAAGGACCAGTTTTTGGGTTGCAGCAGTGCAGCAGGGAATTATTATAATTAATATTCACAGCAGGTGCCGGACTCACTCCCCAACAAATCCCCCTGCTTTATCAATAAGACCCCCTTATTTAAAAAGGGGGTTTTGATAAAACAAAGAAATTCTTGATGAGGAGGGCTTTTAAATTATAATTTGGTTTGTGTGGAGTGTCAGCAAAATTCTACTGAGAAGGTCCCAACTTTTTTTTTTGACAATTTATACTGTAATTGGTGTTTTTTCCATTGCCGTGGTCAGTTCACTTTACAGTGTACTGAGCTGTTGTCATCACAAACCGGTTCACTTTTTTGGCCCACCCTGCATACTTGGGGCGGTGGTTATACATTACTGTATATAATAGGGACATTAATCTCGATGCTGAACACTGAATGATGCATTCCATGATCCAGTGCTGGTAACATCGTCTATCATCGCGTCTCATGCTGTTGGTGATTGATAACCATCAAATGTGCCTGACCTGCTGGTGTATTCAAGGAAACAGTGGGTCGAACAGTATATATCGGAATAAGACTCAAAAATTACGTTCTCCAAAGTTTAAAAAATACAGTATATAGAAAACCATGAATTTCGTATTTTCAAATTTTGTGAGCAGAAGAAGGCACAGAAAGAAATTGTTACACAAAACAAACATTGTCACTTTGAATGTAAACGGTATTTTTTTTTAAGTCCAGGCGAGAAAAGTAGTTTTCTATATTCCTGGTCTTCCAAATTTATGAAATGCAGAAAGTTAGGAGCAAGAAATTGTCAAAATTACTTGAATTTTATGTTAATAATTTTGTATCATTTATGCTACAATTGTGAATATCAGTACCTTATGATATCATAGCTAACTCAAACAGGTACCAATTGAGCAAATCAACAGCATACTGTTTCCAAGCATGCCTAAATATACAGCAGCCATAAGCATCAGATTTAAAAAAAAAAATAGTCATGCGGATTTCTCAAGAAGGCCAGCACCCAGTACATTATGGGAAGCTTCAGGATGAATGACAAGATCTACATTTAAGTCGCAGTTCGTTTTCTGAACTTTCAATGTCCCTTGATGGAGCCCTTGTACAGTAAATCACAATTGAAAATCATTAACGAAAGCTGTTCATTTTTTCTTGCATGGGAAGTAAATCTTAGATATGAATAGATGGGTTTAGTGGAATGGCTGTTTAAATGGAATTGCACTTATATAAAAAAAATCTTTAGATAAGTTAAAGAGATTAAGTTATGTGTCTGATATCTCTTTTTTCAGAGGCTTTGAATTCTTTGCGCAGGAGTATGACAATTATAGCTCACCGTGTTTACTCTCTTTCACATGTTAACCATGTATAGGCTCAGCAAGTTTCAACAATACCAATGAGTCTTGGTCATGCAATGTCAGCAACACCTTGGGACAGCCATTTTATTTTTAGTCAAGGAGGTCTACAATGCCCCACATAACTATTTCTGTAAATTATGGTGAATTTCTGTGTTTTTCAGCCAAGAAAACCATGCATGAGCAAAATATATAAGGGCTATGTGCTGTTCTCAGTCCTCATCATATATATGCTTCAAGTTAAGCCTCATAAAGTCCAGGAATCGTCTAAATACACCCTTCTGTCTGCTGCTCTTCATGATGCGATTTTGTAAAAGCACTTGTTGGTATGACGATAAGCTAGTCTTTCCCTTCATCAAGCTCCTCTTCTCTTTAAGAATAAAATTCCAACAGTATGCATTTTGATGTGTTTCATGAGTTCCGTTTGTAACATAGAAGAATTTAAACATTCTATGAAGTATTTTAATTATTGCAATGAATCACCAGGTAAGTGTGGCTGAGAACTCCCTGGAATATGTGACCTGGGGTCCATTGCAAAAAACAAAACAAAATCTTGCTCATGTACCAGTGATAACCAACAAGTTCACAACTTTAGAATGGTGCACAATTACATGATTACTGCAGTGTCTCTTAATTCTTAAGCAAGCAACCAGCCCTCCCTGATCATTAATATTTACTTGAAATATATTAGTAAAAAAAAAATGCAGGTGTGACTGGGCCAGAAGCTATAGAGCCTGAGTAGAAGATTACCAGAAGACCTTGAACATTCAACCGATGTTTAAAAATATCTTTAGAATTTTAAACATAATGATTTTCAGGTGTGGCAGGGCAACTTACAGCTTATCCTCCAATAAAGTTATTATGCAATGAAGACAATCAGGTGTCCAGTTGTATTTTGTGGATTGTATTTTCTTTTATTTTGTTATTCATTTGTGCTCTGTTTCCTGCTCTGACGTCATAAAATGTCTTTGAGTTGATTTCGGTTGAGTGGGGAAGGGGTGTTGATGTGGAGATCTTGATTGAACCTTGTGAACACTGAAAAGCAGCAAATAAAGTGTTCTGTTCATTCATCATTCATGAAGACAAGGACACTGAAAGAAGACATGATGAAGTGATGTGCTTTGCTCCCTACCTGTTTACAAATTTTGGCCAAGAACAAGTCAAGAAGAAACGCTTTCAATCAACAAATGCCCCCTGTACCTCTGAACACCGTCAATGAACAAATTATATCATTTGGCATCGATTTTTTAAAAGAACAACAAAAGCAATACAAAGTTCGGCAGCATCCATCAAGCACAATGGTCTCATAATGAACAAACAAAACGGAATAACATGTCGAAAAGAAAAAAAAAACAAGTCCTGGCTCTCGTCCTCTCATTAATATCTCTACACCCTTGATGAAAAAAAGTCACGCTCTCCAAAAAGAAAGTCAACAACAATCTTCCAATAAGCGAAACTGATCAGGAAGAAACCCGGGAATGTCATTCCCACCTCTCTGTATTTTTCCCCCATCCCCGCGCCAAAAAAAAAACAAAAACAAAAAAACAACCAGGATTCAGGCCTACAACCCAAAATACCTTCGTCCAGGATATGCTTGAAGAAACCCCCAGCTCGCACTCTGCACACGTACACCCCCCTGAATCATCAATAATTAACAAATGACAACTTGCCCGGAAACGGATCAAGGGGACAGAGGAAAGCCCACTTGGAAGAAACTCCCTTTCAACTGACACCAGGTTTGAGCACAGTTTCCAAACGACAATAAGCTCCCATCAGCAGCAGCATGAAATAGCAACAACTTTAAAATATAAGCTTGACGCAAATATCCAGCAAACTACGCCTGCGTGAATATACATAATGAGGAGACAAACGAAACATTTTGGTTTTCTTCAATCAATGGCAGGAACTTTGGTAACCGTTGAAAAGAGTCTTCACGGGAAGATGATGATGAGTTGAATGTGTCACACACACACACGCAAAACCGCAGATGAAGCAAAGGCCGTCGTAAATTTAGTAAAAACGGGGTTTTTCTCGGTAACTGGACCATCATAGACACAATCCCACCAGCATTTTCATATGAGCTCTGTCAAGAAATTCAATCTTGACAACAGAGCGGGAGAAAGAGAGAGAGAGTGAGGTGGAGTGAGAATTTCCTTACATAAATGTTATCGTCATAAATTCCAAACCTCCATGGACTGAATTCTTTCAGAAGCCATCTTTTAATTTACTACTCATTCATTCATTATTGTTTTGTTTGGAACAAATCTTCATAAAGGGGTAATTGGAATTTCTCAAATAAATTTTTCGTACATAGGGACTCGTCTGTTCCTCACAAGCTCTGACTTAATGTTCAATAGAACATTTAAAAATCATAGCACTGTCTTTGAAAAAATTTCAATAAAATTAGTGACGTCACCTCCTTAAAATCATACATTCGGATACTCTTGTGGATATATCAAAGAAGACAAACAGGGCAATGTGTAGATGAAGCTCACAAAATCTCAATTCATTTTTTCTACCAATCTGAAGATTTACGCAAAAAAAGAGGATGCAGTTATATTAAACATTTTTCCAACAATCATGCGAATGATATACATTGTACTAGGAGGTTCTGTAAAGAAATTCAGTTCATTCATGCCTTCAAAATAAATCAAAAACTTTATTTTATTATTTCATATGGAGAAAAAAGCCAGTTCTCTATTTGAAAATCCTCATATAGAATGTGTGGCTACACAACAATTCGGCTTTAGTGAACAAGCATCAAACTAAAAATTCTCACAAATATTAAAAATTTCATCTTCTTCCTCCAAGTAAAATGAAAACTTCCTAACCCATTTAGGAATTCAACCCACGGTGCTTAGCCACACCCTGGCATCATGTTGAAAATCATGGAATCATCAAAGAAATTCCAATGTTATAGAAGCCGGTTACATGTTGAAGGTCTTTTGATAAACATAGGAATTTTTAAAGTTTACAATGAAAGCTTCTTCTAAGAAATTGAGAAAATATATCCTGCAGTTGTATAAAGGAAGCCTTGCCAGAGAATCCAGGCCATAAAAAGACACTCATTTCCATTCAATGGAAAGTTATCCATTCAATTTATGTAGAGTCCTACATTGGAACTACATTTTCAAAGTAATACGTGAGCCACCAAGAAATAAACACATAATATGTACAGAAATTCAGCTGGGATCACACTAACACACGGTATGACTTGACAATAAATATATATAGGAGCTCTTTTTATGAATTTTGTACATTTTATTAGTTCATCGCGTTCCATGTCCACCCTCTCTCTCTCGTTCTCCAATTTTTCGAAGCTGCGAAGAAAAGCTGTCAAACACGTCCAGATTCCTCCACTTTGTTCAACAAGAAAGAATTTTTTTTTCTTCTTTGAAATCCCCCCCCCCCTTTCCTCATCTCGCATAATGATAGCACTGCGCTGTCTTTTCCTCATGCACGACGAAGACGACGATGATGATGATGTCGACGGCATTTATGATGGCTCACAAAATCTCCGTCTCAAAGACTCCCCGGTCGTGCGGGCCGCCGCCACCGGAAGACGCTCGTCGATGCACGGCGCCTCTCACGCTCGCCACCGCCATTGCTGCTGCTGACCCTGCTGCTACAGCAACATCATCGTTGTCATCGTCATTGCCGCCGCCCATGAGAAGATGCGTGAGAGAGCCCGAGTAGGACGCTACTGACGCCACACAGAGCCCGGGCCTGTTGCGGAACAAGTTGCCCTCGGAGCCCGTCTTCTTGAGCAGCATGAGCTGCTGGTCCCTGCCCCGCGGCAACGTGGCCCCCAACTGGGCCTGCAGTCGGGAATACTGCTCCTGCAGATGTCGCTGCCGTCGAACCAGGTCCCGGTGCCGCACTTCCAGCTCCAACTCCTGCTGCCTCCGACCGCCACTGCCCGAGCCCTGACTCTCCGACCCGGACGACTCCTTGGACGACGTCCTCGGCGGCGGCATCGGATTGTGCGACGACGACGACGAGGAGCAAGCGCCGCCGCCACCGCCGCCGCTGCTTCCGAGCAGGGGATTCCCGCTGCTGGGCGTCTTCACCGGCGACGGCGCCGAGTCTGAGCTGGGGAATGACGGTAGGCGGCGGACAGAGCGGACGATCGGTGGCGTCCCCAGGCCCGGATACGGCTTGGGGCTGAAGCCGAGCTTGTGCAGAGACGAGAACGAGTGCTGTTGTTGTTGGTGATGTGGCTTGAAGGCGGACAGTTCTTCTAGCAGGCTGTCAAGTGGATTGGCTTCTCCTGCTCCGACGTGATGGTGGTGGAGGTGGTGGTGCTGATGATGCTGTTGAGGGTGACTGCTGCTGCTTCCTCCTGCTGCTGCTGCTGCTGCTGAGGCTGAAGATGATGGCGGCTTCCCCGGCTGCAGTCCCCCACCGGAAATACGCACATACGGAGGTCACACAGAGAAACAAAATGAGCACCCAGGGTTCACAGACCAACAAAACAAACCAAATGAAAATAACACAGTACTGTACACAGTACTTGCACACGGGTTACATGTACATATCATATACGTACACACCATCTCCAACTATAATACCGATGGCATTTACGCAGATGCCCATAACCACCAACGAACTAATGATTATGCAGGATCAGAAAATCATAGTTTCGAGTCAAAGTTCAAATTCTCATTGTGTTTTTTCATCTTCAAAATTTCCTAATTTTTTCAAGGGCTTTGAAAATGGGATGCGCATCTTATACTGTACTTCCTGGGGATACGGTATATTTACATATGAATTTTAGAGACAGAAAAACATGTATTACATTTTTGCACAGTAATTTTCATGGGAAGATGGTCTTATTATCATATAATGCAGAAGCTCACCAGTGCACCGTATACAACTTATTCACGAGGCGAGATTGAAGCTCCAGCAGCGGGAATAAGTAGGTTTACAAAAATAAATAAACAGTACAATCCACCCTAGTGAATTTCTTGAAGTCTGAAATTGATGTGCTACCACGTCTCAAAGAAAAGAAAAAAACAGCATTGAAAAATGTTTGGCGCATTTTTGTGGTATAGGATTCCTTATTCTACGTAGGGAACTTATTCGCGACCTTTTTAGCATACAAATGTTCTCGGGATATAAATTGAAACGGTATGATGATTATTAAAATGGAAACAATTATTGTTCCGAAAATATAATTCTCTGCTATTTCGCGTGAATCCCTTTCGATTTTTTGTTTTTGTTTAGCTCAGCGTATCTTGCAGAATTCTTGAAATTGACATGGCATTGATTCCAAGGGTTGCCTCCAAGTCACCCGAGAAGTTCATCTGCCATTTTCATTTACAGTTGCTTTCAGAGCCGCCAAATTTTGATTCCATGTGGCGGCTGTTGATGAAAATGGCGAAATCAGCAATCAATTAATGGCAGCAACTCTTAGAAATTATCCCATGTCAACTTCAAGAATTCTGAAAAGAAAAGCTAGGATACAGCAAAACATGCAAGGCAGGAGCCTTATTCTTGAGAGAGGACAAAAAAGCTAACTTTTTTAATGTAAAAAAATATGTCAAACAGATTTAAATTGTTTCTTGCGCCAAGAAATCTTTTCTAAAAATAATTGCTTTGCACTTCGATCATGCCTGCGTTTTCAGTCTCTATCCTGAACACTTTTGCAAGACCCCTCATACATATGTAAAACCTGCTTACAAAGAATTCCTGTGACCTGATGAAAAAATTGTAATGAAAAATCATTTTTATCAACATACATGGTTTTTATTTAACACATTTTGGAATGCAATTTTGAGAGAAATGGGCAACAAATACTTTAAAGTGCTTCCAAAGCCAAAAATTCAAGACCCATCATAATTGATAAGTATTTCTGAAGAAATGAAGAGAAAATTTTTGAAATAAATACTGTAGTAATGTACTTTCCTTTCATTAAACCTGCCTTTGTATTAAAGTGTTGCTTGTCTCAAAAAAAAAAAAACAAGATCACAAGTGATATAGAAATACTGAATCAACTTATTCACTCATGCCTGTCTGCCCTTTCAAGAATATAAATATTTTCCTAACAAGGCTCTTGCTTTGCTTTGCAAGAAAGGCTTATATTCTGAAAAGAAACTAAAGAATTACCAAGAAATATGTCACAAGTATTTTTTGAATCCTGAGTTTTACCTACAGACCATTTTTTTCTCTGACTAAATTATAATGCTCCTCTTTTCCAGATTTCTTTTCTGAGTTTTCTGCCATTTATCAAATAAACCCTATGAGCTATATGCGCAGAAACATGGACAAAAATTCGTTATAATGAGATTACAGCCTAAAATGACTATCGAAATGATACTTTTATAACACTGCCCTCATGGGAAACTGCTGGGGCTGGGAAACAAATAAAACGGCAAAACGATATTATTTGTAATGGTATTCTACTGCAATATGGACTTGAATTTTCTTATTTATTTTAAGCGAGAAAAAATGCCGATGACACGCAGAAAATGCAAAGAAATGTTCTTTTCAACGAAGTGGTGATTTTGGGCGTCTGCGTAAATCAAGACTTCCTTTTATTTTTTGGTCTCACATCCAGAACATTCCTAAGTATACTGTATATATATACGCTTTCAGTGCACAACATGCAGCATGCGTACATTATTGCCCTTTTAACGACTGCATCATCTAAAGTCTCATATCTGTTAGCTTCAAGCGTAGCTTTCAAAGTCATGCGTACTAAACTGCATTTTCTGTTTGTTTGTTTACAGATAGCTGCTGAGCAGGGATTCCACACAACGGTTTTTCTATAAAATCATATCAATCGATAAACTGACTGTTAAACAACAATGATGTTATCAGCAGATCCAAAAAAAATTCTTCCGCCCGCAATTCCTTCGGGATCGAAATGAGCAAAGCTTTTTCTGGAACCCTCAGGATGCAAAAAAAAAATGAACGACAAAAAACTTTTCAGAATTGAATGGAAAGCCTTCATCATTGACAAAAAAATGAGGAATACAAAACGTATCCCGTTAATTTTCCCAAGCACAGAAAACAAAAAAAAACCTGAAGATTTCAGAAACACGTGAGCGAAACCAGCAGGGGGGGAGAGAAGAAAAGATTGACAAAAGTTGACACACAAAATCTCGACGCCATTTTTTTTGGCTCGTCTCGGGGAGATAAAAACTGACCTTTGTCAAATCAGAGCTTCCGCGAAGTCTGCCCTGCTGAAACGCCTGACTGCTGTCAAAATAAAAGGAAACCACAAGAAGAAAACGAGAGATACAAGCTAAATCTAGAAATGAACACCAACAATCAGCATACAAAATCGATGAAACGAAAAAATATTTCGGCAACGTCAATAAAACCTCGTCATGCCTCAATATATAACAATATTGCACGCTTTTTCATATCCCTCAATTCGTCAACAATCCAAACATACCTTGCTTCAAAATGCTCTTCCATGCAGAACAAACAAATAAAAAACCTTCCATCCATACGCTCAATTCTCATGACCAAAATGTGCTTTTGTGACATTCAAAAAGCTGTGAAACAGGGCGGGGGAAACAGGAACACCTTCCATCACGGACTGGCACATATATATAATTGTCTTTTTAATTATCTGTATAATCTGCAGAGCATACGTAAAAAAGAATCGATCGAAACAAAAGTTGCCACACTCCCTTTCTTTGCAAAAATAAAAACGAAATCCAAAAATCGATTCCAACGAAGACTGAAGAAAAATGACGTATACGATGGGTCTGACAAAAAGTTATCGAGTTAAAAATTGAATCGTTATACATAAAATAAGAACTAAGCAGAAAACAATTGTTGTTCGGAAAAAAAAAATTGTTCACTCCTTATCACGAGCCTTATTTTTATTTTTCGTGCGTGCAAAAATCAACCCAATAAATAGCTTTTTTCTCTTTACTGCAGAGATGAGGCGCCGATCTTTGAAATTTCCGGTGTAGCCTAGCTTCTCCTTCAGAATTTTCTAATGTGACATGGCAAAAATTCCAAGCGTTGCCTCCGCCAGGTCATCCAAGGTCATTCTACCATTTTCTTCAAAAGCCGCCACATTTTTATCCCGAGTGGCGGCTGTTGATGGAAATGCTGGAGGCAAGATTGGTGCTATTTTGATTTCAAGGATTAGCGAGAAGCTGAGCCACGAAAAAAAAAAAATTCAAGCACAATCTCGGAAGTAAAGAGCGAAATGCTGCCAGGTTGACATTTACAAAAAATGTACGCAAAAAAAAATCGAACGGGGCTTTTTTTCTCGTACCAAAGACTATATTTTTTTTTTGAAAATTTTTTTTTCCAGCTGAATCGCGTGACATTTTGATAAATATTCCGAAAATATTCGTCACAGACCCCTGGTATATAAATCTGAATAATAAACTGAACACCAAGATATTATATAAAAAAACACTTTTGCTGGATAAATTATGAACATCAGCAGATCGAAAACTCGATGAGAATTGTTCGACGCAAAAATATTATCGGAAGATTGCAATAGTATATAGCACCAGCAGCAAGCAAAGAATAAAACAGCAAAAAAAAAGGCTTTCAGAACAGAATAACTGACAGCAGGGAAGTGACATCGATTGCAAAATTGGAATAATAAGCCAATAACTGAGGAAAAAGGGAGTGAGCATCACTCATCATCATCATCATCAGAAAAACGGAACAAATTAAGGTGCTGGGTATAAATCAGTACCCACACATATAAAAATATATATATATATACTGTATATATATAAATATTTCGGTGTGGATACACGTGGGGGATGAGAGCAGAAAAAGTGAGGGTGGCATAAAATCACTTTATGCCCTTATATAACAGCCATATCGGGTTTCAGAATATAAAAAAAAAAGAAATTACAAAGAAAACAAGGAAGCACGAGAAAAAAAAAGGATTGCGGTTCCACGAGAGCAGAATATGCTTGTGTCGGTGACGGGGGAGACAAGTAAGCAAAGGAAAAAGTTGAGCACGAGCGGAATTGATCATTACTCTTTGGCAGAAACGGTGTCTCGGAACAGAGCACTCCGCTTCCATTTGTTTCTCAGTGACTGGACAATGTCATGGGGAAGCAATATGGAGAGAGAGGAGAGAAAAAAAGAGAAGCAAGGTAATATGTCACAGCATCATAGGTGTCACCCGTGATAATCCCGAATCAAAAATTAATATGAGCGTTGATTCATAAGTTATGAAAATTTTTCAAATAGGTCCAAAAGGGAGTTTCAACAATTACATTTCTTTTTCCTTTTTACTCGCACAGTCCCATCATTTGGCAACACTTCAGTGCTGTTCAACATATTCTCCACTAATAAGTTCAATACATTTTTCATCTGATAAATCCAATTTTAAATAAATGCCTAAAATCGAATTCGAAAGTTTTTTTTACATGTTCTTTCTGGAAACATAAATTGAAAAGCGTATTCGAAAAATTGAACAAGAAAATCATCAGAAATTTAATTGCACCCTTTGACTCCATTAATCTGTATCTGCCTGCCATTGAAAAACAACGTGATCAACTAACACAACTTGATTTTTGGCACTGTTTTGATTGTTGGATTCATTGCATGAAAAAAATGCATTGAAATTGTGAAAATTTTGTTGGATCTGCTTGAAATATATTCAAAACATATGAACCAACCCTCGTACACAGAATATATTGTACCTGGGTTTGCGTATGTTCAGCCCACACTCGAAGTGAGTCAAGAAGAAACCACATCTAATAGGAAAACTCAGCTAGTCAAACCTTTACTCTAAGATAAATCATATACGGTGTTCAAAAAAATTACTGCGCTGAGGAAAAATTCAGCAATACCCTCAGTAATTTCGAAACTCAAGAGCAATGTGCACCCATTCAGTGTTCAGATGATCGAATAAACGGGGATATTATTCCAGAGGATGTAAATGAGAACCCGACATACGGACGATTCGACTTAGGGACACTAGAAAAAAAATCTGACCCAACATCCGGAAAATGGCTCTGGATTGCTAACAGTTTCCAGAAAACTTGAGAGAATTCACTTTTAATTTTGATACCTCATGAACAAATTTAGTTATTTTATATTCAAAAAAATTGGAAGTAAATTCATCAAAATTTTACTTTCATTCGCAATCAAAAAACAATCATCGAAGCTATTCCGTTGCGGCTGCTCCACGGGTTTTTAATTTGATTCTTTCAATAAAAGTTTCGTTTGAAGGACTTTTTAGGAAGTATTTAAACGAATGTTTGCTGGTCTGCAAAAAATGTTTGGATCTTTGCTAGTCCGCGGGCCCAAAAAGGTTGGGGAACCCAATCTCATTTTGATGCACTCTTAGATGACATCCAAGCTTGTTTCCAATAAAATATAAATTTAACATGACCATATCTTGAATGACACTGGAGGGATGCATAAATGAAGAAGCAAAATGTATAACATTGATTGAGTGTATATAAACGTAATCTCTGAGCCAGGTAAAATTTTTGAACACCATACATACATCACATACGTAACTATGAAGCCTTACTCTAAGAAAAAACTTGTTTCCAGGCAGATACCGTACTTGTCAAACCACAAAATGGGAAACTCTGCTTCCAACGCTAAAACTAAAAAATTTCGACAATCGAATTGTTCTTGTCTTTCAAGAAAACAGCCTTTGCGTCATATGTATATACAATCCAAGTTTTCCTTTTCAACATACAGTACATTATATGCATATACTGTACATATGTATATATAGTCATTAACTCTCATCTCCTCCATCATGGTTAACGGTGGAATTTGCAAGGAGACCGACCTTCGCAGAAACGTCTGACGACTCAGTCCCCATGAAGGAACCGGGAGTTGCTGCAGCTTGCTGGTGCATTATTGTCGTTGGAGGAGCTGAAGCAGGCGTTAATGGCCCTCCAGGATTCGTGCCAGGCAATCTTTGTTCTTGCACTGAGGCCAACCTGGTGTCAAAGAAAAGAACAAAGAAATCACAGTACTGTACTTCCTTGAATACAGATCACCCTCGAGTGAAAATGCACACTCAAAATTGTCAGCATTAAAATTTGGATTAAATTGTATTCCCAACTCAGATGTTCATCCCATTTTTAGAGACTGAAAATTGAAATATCTTGAAAATAAAGCACTTGAGGAATTCAAAATTTTCACTGAAATTGTAAAATATTGGATGTTGAGCTTCTCTTGTTTCTTTTATTGTTACTATTTTCAAATATTACCTGCTTGAAAAGGTAAAGAAATTCTTTGTGTGAGTCAAGATTGATTCAAATGATTTGTACAAAATTTGTTTAATTTTTTAAATATGTTGTATCCGCCCAAAACGAAATTACGTATATGAAATCCCTATTTTTTCCTCTTAATGTCAGAAAAGGTGGAGGTGCTGATTTTTCTTGAGTCAATACAGTATTTAGAGTTTGAAGAGCTGAAATTCAAATCAGAAGACGTTTGCATCTTCAACAGGTTGCCAAGGTGGACTCTCTTCTGCAACATAATTCAAATGCAGAAAAATGTTGTTGTACTGATAATTTCATTGTAGAGAACCCTACGCAGTGGGCGAAGAATTCCTACGATACTTCCATATTTTCATGCAGAGAACATAATTGTGAAGAGTCGTCCTTAATATTGAATCGATAGTAAAACAAACTGCAATTGTAAAAAAAATCATAACTACAAAAATTCAAGTACTGCATGGTACACTGACGTAAAAAATATACACATGCATATATACAGTATACATATAAATATATATATATATACATACATTACAGTATAATGCAATTCTACTTTATTTTTTAAAACATGATTAAGTGAGTTCTTTCAACCACACTTCAAATGTTTTCCAAGAAAGTAGAGACAGAATTATATCTTCAAAAAAAATCATTGATTTCAAAAGCAAAATGAAAAAAAATCACAACAGAGGTAACTTGCTGAAATCACACTTGCCTCTTGAGCGTCACAAGAGTGCCAGTGAGCTTTTTACACCTTCTCATGTACCCATCAAGCCTGTCTGGCTCTTCCTTCAGAAACCTGCGGAAAATTGCATCATTTCAAAATGAATTGCGCATGAATTCCAAAAGCAATGTAGATGAATACTTTTCATCTTGAACAGCCTTTTCCATGTCCATCGTCACAGAGGTCTTGATGTTATCCGACAACATGGGAAATCTCGATTTCAGGTCCGCCACCATTTTGCTGCAGAGTGATAATGAAACAAATTTTGAATCACTGCATCATTGAAGATCCACATACAACATAAATATACACTACAGTCAACCATGAATTCAAAACCACCAATTTCTGTGAAAAACATATCCCTCATAAAGTTTTCGAGGAAAAACTCCGATTTTGGGTCAACTGAATTTAGAGCCACAAAAAATTCCCTTCCCGGTTGAAAAGTGGGCCAAAATCAAAGAAATGGAGAACTTCTTCCTTAGAATAAATTCAGAAAATTAGTGAGAATAACATGCCCTTACTCATACAAAAACTCAGGATAACTTTGAATGTTCTTTTTCAGAATTTAAAGCATACAAAAATATTTTTTGCTGTATATTACACCTTACTTCGTAGAAAATTTCACGAATAAAGTAGAAGCTTTCCTGGGGACAATGGTGCTGCAGGAATCACCAAATATAAACTTAAATTCATACAACATTTCAGAAAAAAGATTTGTTCTGTTACCAGATACAATATGTGTAAAAATCCTATGTATTCTGTCTTATTAAATATATTAAAATGCAATAAAAACAGCGCATTTGTGTTGAAAGCAGTTATTTCTTGGGTCTCTTTAAAAAAAAGAGACTTTGGCCTATTAATTCTGTAAAAAATTTAATTTTGATTACAGAAGAAACTCAGAACTAATACTTCCTCACATGCAATACCCTCAACTTGAAGCCACTCTTGCTCATATTGCTGCAAAAAAAATGTGCCAGGACAAATTGATGGCACTGGATTCAGATTTGACTGCATAGTACAGGTGTGATTCAGAAAACGAACCTAGCTTTACTTAAAATAACCGCCATGCTCTCAACATCTGACATGTTCACTCGGGACCGTCGGTTTATCACATTGCTCCTGAGCTCCTCCACGTTTGTCTCCAGTTCACTGCACAAAACAAAAGATCATCAAAACACACGAACGATACGGAAAATTATGAGATTAGCCAAGAATTATGATAAAGCGTATCACTTACCCTAGATCACTTTCAAGGCGGTGCATTTCCTGCTTGAACAACTCCGTATCCCTGGAGACCCTGAGTCTTTCCGAGTTGGCAACACTCGAAGCACCGCTGAGCAAGAGTTTATCACCATTGGACAAAATCGCCAACCTGCATATATACGAGTATATGCAGGTGAAATGACGTTATAACGAATTTCTATGATTCACGAAACACAATCATTTGTCATATTCAGCACTTTTTTGGAACCCTAAACGTTCCTGACCGAGAGTTTTGTTTCTTTGATGAAGTTTGGAATGCTGACCCAGCTAATTTTTTTTCCGTTTTTCTTCCATTCATCAAATAATTTCCATATTGCCTTTGTGAGGGGGGCTGTTGATGAAAATGGCGGAATTGCCTTGGAAGATCTGGAGGCAACCCGTAAGAATGCCACGTTGATTTCAAAAATTCTGAGGGGAAAGCTGGGCTACAATAAAAAAAAAAAAATCTGCAGGAAGGGCACCTCATCTTTTGAGTGCGGAGCAAAGCCAAGATGAATTTGGCAAAACATTGAAAAAATTGTCAAACAGGGCTGATTTTGTTTTTTGTGCCAAGAAATCTGTTTTCCCTAAAGAAGAAATTATTTTTCAGCTCGAGTAGACGCCATTTTCATTTCCATTCTCACAACTTTTGTTAGAACTCTCGTACATGATTACATATAGTAAACTCGGAAGCAGGAGTTTCTAGAAATGGAGTCGGACCTGATTCTAGATGACCCGTCTCGGAAAACTTCCCGCATGCTCATGGCATGTCCCTGAGCGAGTCTCTGCAAACTCTGGAAATCTATCCTCAACGCCTTGGCCTTCTTGTGCAACGCCCTCAAATGATTGTACGTCTCCAGAGACACCCTCAATCCGACCGCTGAAACAAACACCAACAAACCCACGCCATCAAAAATTCATGAAAAAATAAAACCCGGCGAAAATGAAAAAAACAACTCACATTTATCCACACGTAATCGGTCTGCTCCAAAACCATCACCCAAGAATACGTATAGGAAAACGGAAGGAATATATAGAAAACGGTTAGTACACACTAAATGTGTCAGCGGCAGAGAAAAATTAATTTACCTTGAGAGTACATGGATCGTGGAAGAGTGGAAAACTTGATGGCAGGCTTCGCTGGCTTGTCGGCTAATTAATTCCGGAAATATTTCGAAAACAAGAAATAATGAGAAATGAAAGAATGCTGAAGACTCAGATTATCTACATGCGCCACCACAAAAAAAGAAAAAAAAATTCCCAGCTTTTCAAAACAGTGACAGATTCATTTGGAAAAATTCTGAAGTTCATAAATTTGAAGAATACAAGTACGAAGTATAGTACAGTATATAGACAATTGAAACCCAAATTCAGAGATGGGGAAAACAGCAAGTTGTACAAACCAGCATGAAGAGGTGAGTGCTGATGCTTGGGAGATCCCAGGTCGGGCTCATCGCTGAAGGACACACTTTTCTCAAACGACACTGACTTATCTAGAAATCGAAAATGAAATAGAAAATAAATTTATATCACACGGAATCTTTTTCGAAATTTTCGAAATTCAATTTTACCTCGGCCTAGCTTGGGGGGCTTCAATTCTGAGCCAAACAGCTGCTCCACTCCTGGAATAATTCCATGAAACATTTCAAAAGTGAAGAAAAGCAAAAAATAAAAAAATAATAAATGGAATGCTCCTATAGGGGTTACTGTACCGTGGAAAATTGATTACTGCATATATCATACTTCAAAGCATTCACTTCTAAATTGGCGAACAATTTTAAAAATACTTCAAAAACCTCTCGCTTGTAGAAGAGAACTAAAAACCAAGGTTCTTCCTTAAAATTGATTTACAAGATGATTGAAATCAAAGGATCGTTGCTCCTATCAAGAGACAATACTGAAAAAATTTATCACTGTACTCAAAAAAGATGAGCAAAAGAATATGAGACATAGGTTAAAAATTTCCCAAGGTAAAATAATCTCCTCGACATCCTCCTACAGAAACGAGGGGTCTAACAAAAGTTTTCGGGATGTAAATTGAAATGGAAAATGATGCAAATGAAAAACGATTACTGTTTAAAAAAAAAAACATTTTGTCACACTTGAAAAAAATCAGCCCTGTTCGACTTACTTTGCGGATTTTTTCACTTACCCAAGTCACCGCGGCACGTTTCTGCTCTTCTTTCAAAAGATTAGGCGCCCATTTCGCAAATTTTCTGCCGCATACAAGCTTTCCTTCAAGAATTTTTTAAATGGACATGGCATTCATTTCAAGGATTGCCTCCAGGTCTTCCAAGGTAATTCCGCCACTTTCTCCGCCTTCACAGCCGCCACATTTTCAAGTGGCGGCGGTGAGGGCGGCTGCTGATAAAAGTGGCCGAATGAGTAATCAATTTATCGGCGGAAAACCTTGGATTACATGCCGCACCAATTTCAAGAATCCTGAAGGAAAGCCTGGGTACAACAAAAAAAAAAGAAGAGAAATGGGCGCCTCATCTTCGAGTGAAAAACAGAAATTTGCCAGGGTGACTTTCGCAAAAAGATATTTTTTTTTAATGTGAACCAGGGCTGGAATTTTCTCTCGTGCCAAAGATATTTTTATGGACAAAAATTATTCTCCAGCTCAATCATATACAACATGTCATTTTAATTTCTATCCCGAGAACTTTTGTTAGACCCCTCGTTCGTAATTACAGCAGAATGAACACTCCTCGTCAGGGGCTTCTCCCTTTACAGTCTACGATAGTCTACGATGTGTGTTAGGGGTCACAGGGTTCCACGCGGATCAGCTTGTTGCTGCTATGTTCTGGGGAAGCTTCAAAATGTAACAACTGAACATGTCAAGGCCTGTTATCTCAAAGGATGAATCAAAAGGGGTGACAAGTGCGTACAAAAGTTTACAACATGGTGGCGATGACATTGAGGAGCTGTCTGCTTATAGCCTCTTGGAACTAGTGAAAATGAGAAGAAAAAAAAACAATTTAAATCCGTCGTGCTCAGATCATTTAAATAAAGTCAGCGCCGACTCAAGTCCGCGCGAAAACGTGTAACCCCTTGCATTGCATTGCATCACAGCATCAGAGGAGGAATGTCATAATCTGTTCATTGTATTTATTGCACAAGCGTAATCATCTTGTATGCATATTTTTCGCAGTGCAGAATAAAAAAAAAAAAAAAACGCCAAAAACTGACCTGTCCTCGGACTGCTGGACCCGCTGCTTCCTAAAAAGGGTCCTCCTCCTCCTCCTCCTCCACTGTTGGACGTCAGAGGCATCCCCAGAAAGTCCGGCATGGCAGTCAACGGTTTGCCAGTTCGCATGGCCTGCTGTACCATGCCCGTCAGGCTTGCCAACTGCCGCTCCAACTGCTCTACCCGCAGACGCGTCACGGGGTTCGTGTACGACGCACTGTTTCATGATGATGGACACGTTGAAACATCAATATTGTTTATAGGCTATATTAATATTGTACAACTTGAGCGTGATTTCGCTTTTTTCTAGAATATAGGTATGACTGTACGAAGAAAAAATAGGATGTAGCCCATGCTGTTGAGAGGATCTGAAACTTCGTTTTCAGATTGAAAAAAAAGTTCGATTTACTGTATGATAGTAAGTCAAAACTTCACAGTTATGATTGGAGCCCACCACACTAATGTCAGCGGAGCGAAAATTTGTCAGGCCATCCGAAAACTTGAATTTCTTTTTTATTTTAAGCATGATTCAAAATATAGACATTATAATGGCTGAATAACAAACAAATTCACTTTTCTTTTTTGGCAGGCCTAACTATTTTCCACTCCTGTGACGGGCAAAGAACACTGGCAGAAATTAACTGGAAAGTTTTCACTCTTTATTTGTAAATTGAAAAACAATTTCCCCGAACATCACATCATCGCGTGTGATTTCATGCCTCTTGATACAGTCATACCTGATTAATCCTAAAAAAAATCAAGGTCACGTCGAGGTGAGCTAACCTTTATACCAGCGCAACACACTGTATTTTAACTTGAAGAAAATTGCTAATCCAATCGAAAATGTTGACTTCAGCGAATTTCACGTCACTCGCTTTTGGCACTCGTTTCACATCCAAATTTAAGCTACGTAATATGTTTGAACGGGATGAATTCTCTCCAACAAAATCGTATTCTTGATTTGAAAAGATAAATTTTAAGCAAACAAGAGTAACAGCAAAAACATAATTCTTTTGTTTTCAAAGCCAGGGGAATATACAAAATCAACGCGTGCAGTGCTGCGCTTTCTAGAGAGAAGCTGATTCAAAAACAAAGTGCTCGGCAGGTATGGTCTGCAAACAATTTTAGGGCAATTTCCTCGTCCAAGGGCCCAAAAAAGTTGGGAATCATTTTGGTTTAGAGGCCCTTTCAAAATGTCACGGATTCGACACTTTCCTTCAGTCCAGGCCCAGTACTATGGGTTCCCCTCCATGAATTACAAGATCGGAGTGCAGTAATAAACATAGAAGGTGGCATCCGAGTACCTGTGAGATATCTCGTCGTCGACGACTGGCGTGACAGAGCCCGAACGTGGGCTGTACTGAGAGTACGAGTACCCGTCGTCGTAGCTGCCCGACGGGGTTAAAAATGGCCCGTAACCCGTAGACAATCCTTTCATCCCTCTGCTGCTGTCACCTGCTAAAAAGAGAAGAAAAAAAAAATAATCAAATTTGATTTGCAGTACTGTACTGCACAGTCAACCCGGTATCACATTAAAAAAGATTTCCTTTCCGCGAAAAAATCTCTCGAGTAAAAAAAATAAAATGCTTAAAATTAAAATTTCCTTCATGACAAATACATTCAAGGAGTTTTCAAGTAAGACAGAAAATATGTTCCTGGCACTGATGGAAGAATACTACTTTTTAAATTGTTGCCTCAAATTACCCTGATATGAGTCAGTAGTTCTGTTGTTTCACCTTCTTTTTTTTTTACTGCTATTGCTCTTACTGTCTTTATAAACTAAGATCGCACTTGTATATCTTTAATGAGTTTAATCCATTGTTCGTGTTTTCCGTTATGAACAGTGACCACGTATCTTGAATTGTTCTGACTTTGATTCACTCAAAAGTTGTTTCACGCATGAGAAAAGAAAACTCTGCTCTTGCCAATTTTTCTATAGAATTTTCCAGAAGTTTACCACTTCTTCGCATAGACCACGAAAAAAATGACATAACGGGTCATAAAACTGCACACTTCGCGAAAACGAAATGAATTTGCCGGCTGGTGAAGAACAGAAAGGGATAAATGCCAAGAATGACGAAAGAGCTAAAGATTACAGGCCTGGAAAGAAAGAAAGGTTCGTTCAAGATGTTACAAGGGAAATAAATAAAACATGCATATAGTTGAAGAATTCTGCCAACTTTATTTTTTAAGCGGGTGACTGCAACATTTCCGCCTTGGAAGTTTATAAGAAAACTAGGTTTGATGAACTAACTAGAATTTCTCCTGGAAGGAAACGAAGTTTCTTTAAAAAATGCACCAATCAAGCAATTCTTCATTCGAAAAGGAAAAAAAATGCCTCTCAGTTCGTTTCTTGAATATCAAAGAGCTTGTGACGGGTATTGATGCAGGATTTTTGCGAAGGGTTTGCGATTTTGTCAAGGGAACGGCAACTTTATCTATTTTCAGGGATCCCATATTTTTCTGGGCGTATATGAATCAATTCAAGTCAATATTCAAGGTGTTCCTCCATTTTGGCCAAAAACTTATTCAAAAGGAAACGAATGAAAATATATATTCTCGGGAAGGATAGATGACTTCCCCAAGTTTCCACATCAATTCCTCAGTCGCAAAAATTTTCAAAATAAATAATCCACGTAATGAGAAAATCTCATGAGTTTTGTTCAAGAATTTCACAAATAAGACAGGGGTGACCTAATTTGTTTTCCCTTAAATTCCGTCATTGTAAAATTTTTCAAACTGGAATCCAAGAGATGAGCCCTTCTTTCTCACCTCTTGCTGATTTCAGCATTTCATAAAGAGAAACATGACTCAATTTCTGTAGTACTGTATTTTCCAATCATTGCGCTTCTAGTTATTGAAAATGAAGGAATACACTTGTTATCATTGAGAAAATTATCACAATGAAACAGTGAAATAATTCCAAACCAAAAAGTTGTAGAACAAGACAATTTGAAGTGAGAGAAAAGGAAAGAGGAAAGGAAGGTAAAAGAAACTACTGTAATATTCTTCTGCAAAACCAGAACCATTTTAATATATAATATACCGACTTGACCATTGTTGAAAGACACAGCCCTGTCCCTTGGTCCCACAATTAGGTACCAGTTCCTGGCACTTAAACATATTTGATTATATACCAAATCTCAAGATTTTGGAGTATACAAACCCCAGTAGCTTCTGCCCAAAAACAGGCATTAGTGCACTGACTTTTGTTGACACATCCAGTGTAGGAAATCTCCAAGGTTGTTCCTGTCTCTGTCTTGTACATTTGTGGTTGTACAATTAAAACTACAGTATTTCTATCCAGATGAAAAGTGTCCAAGTTCTTCCTAATCCACTCCACATTAAAAAGAAGATACTCAAACCTGGTACTATCAAAGAATTGATTCCACACTTTGAAATAAAAAAAACATAACATACTCCAGGAAACCAAGAAAAAAAGTCACAAGAAGTTAAATCCGTCTAAAATTCATTACGAAACGGTTGGATTTAATTTTTCCACCCAAGCAAGCTGTGCGTATTCATTTTTTTTTTATTTCTTGCTGCTTAGTTCAACTTCAATATTTCAATAAAGCCCTTCCCTATAATCTCGGAATGGAATACGGTCCAACAGCAACAAAAAACCAACGATAGAAGAGGAATTCTGGTAGAAAAAAAAAAGAACTATAGAAATGAGGAAGATGCGCATTTGAGACGCAAGCATATATGCCGAATACAGCAAAAACTACGCCAAAAAAAGGGACGATGTTTTCCTTCTGCGAGAAATTGAAACTTGTGCATACACTGGTGAGGAAGTAGCATCGCATCGCACGGCTTGCTTTTATCATCCACGCCAGCAGCAGGTTTCCAATTTCCCATCTCAAGCAGAGAGGAATGCTTGTCGAGTCGAGAAGCATTCCAGGTGTAACTTTGAAACGAGCTTCATGTATTAGATGGGGCCTGGTTTTATAAAAAAAAAAATAGAGCATGAGATACTCGAGTGCTCAGGGGTAGCAGCAGAGGACGACGTAAAATTATTACAAATTTTAGAAGGAGAAATCACTCATCTTGAAGAAAACGGACGACTTCTTGTTAGCATTTGAGAAAATTATGAAACAATGAATGGAAGATGTTTTTAAGAATGGATAACCGTAGCAGAGATTATTCCAGCAATTCCTTCAGCAATTTCAGGAGCAACTTTTATCCCCAGACAATCTTGGGTGGTTTATCCACTGAGCTGGTCCTGTTTGTTTCAAGACCCAAAAAGCTAAAGGCTGGAAGCCCAGAATGGGGCAGTAGACCATTTTTTATTTATTCATAGGTCTTCAAACCTTGGTTTGCTGCCTGTTTTCCTTTTATTTTCACACATGAAAGGGGAGAGTATGAGTCTTGTGTCTGGCGCTAAAGGTTTGCTCACCCCTGAATGCCAACCTGGAGGCAGCAGAGAACTGGTTTTGTGTCTGGTTTTTTTTTCTTTTATGTGAGGCTTTGGTTTTTTTCTGAGGATTATAGCTTTTAGTGTTGAGTATATACTGAATGATTGAATGAACAGAACACCATTTGCTGCTTTTCAGCCTTCACAAAGTTCAATCAAGATTTCCACAACCAAACCCCCTCCCGCTTTTTGCCGTTGCACATTTTTTCTTTTCTTACCCCAGAAAGCAACAGGAAAAGCGCACAAATGAGAGGAAGCATTTTTTTCTATCAGTATGGAATGCTGGACATAAGAAGAGAAGGTGCTCTGGTGATGCACAAACTAATGTATTCATGCTGCAGGAGTTACACCACTTAGACACTTTTGAATTACAGTATATATATTTAAATATACTGTAAAAAAGTGATTTTTATACCCAATAGCATCAGAACAATTTAAGCTACAACATTGGAAGGTTCCCCACATTTTGCAATCCTTCGAATTTTGTTTTTCAATAAAGAAGTTATGAGCAGCGTGTGGCCTAATATTACTTCAAACGTCTGGCTTTGTTTAAATCCCACCGCCAGCTTTCTGTCAAAGTGCACGGTGAAAAATCAAACTACAGATAACATAGATTCATCTGCAGAAATTGGTTTGCAGAAAAAAAACAAGCTGAACAACTACATAAACTCCAATCTTCCCTCTTTTTTTTCCACAGAGATTTGCTCTTTTATTTTTTTTCTTATTCTGGAAGGCGAAAGCCCTCTTCTTATTATGGTTCTATTCCCACTCGGTGCACGTCCCAGCTCACGGGTTTATGTTTCGCAGCCCGCATTACCGTCCAACACGAGGAAATCACGAATTCTCATTCTCAGGGAAGAACAAAGAAGAGGCTGGCAAAAATGCTTCCTCTCATTTGTGCGCTTTTCCTGTTGCTTTCTGGGGTAAGAAAAGAAAAAATGTGCAACGGCAAAAAGCGGGAGAGCTCATCATTAATTGCGCGGTCGGTCGGTCAGGGCCAATCAAGTTCAACTTTGCTTTCCGCCACCGAGGAAAATTGCACAAGCACACGACGGGTCCAACAAAAGTTCTCGGAATAGAAATTGAAGCAATAATATTCTGTTCACCGTGTTGAGCTGAGAAACAATTGTTGTTCTAAAGCAAAAACATTCTCTGGCATAAGAAAAAAAAAAGTCAGCCCTGCTTTGACATATTTTGCGGAAAATTTTGGAAAAAGTCGCCCTTGCTCTTCACTCGTGAGATGACGCGACCATCTCAATGATTTTTTTTTGTGTAACCCAGCTTTTGCATAAGAATTCTTGAAATTGTAGTCATATTAACGACCACAACACCCTTCACTTTACGCAAGACCCTTTTAAGCTAAT